AACTGAAAACAAAGAGGGACTGACAAGTTTTTCAGAGAACAGTTTTGTTTCATGATGAAGAGAGGCGGGGGGGAAAAATCGACACATATGTAATACCCTTTGTAATAAAAAAAAATAATAATAATAAAATAAAATTATTTTAATAAAAAGGAAAAAAAAACACATTTCAAGTTTGGTTTCTTTTCAAATGTCCAAAGGTATTTCTCAATCTGAGCATCTTTATAATAGACAGAAATATTTCAAATGCCAAACTGTACTACATGCTTGATTTTTTAATGATTAATAGAGAAAACTATTAGTGCAGTTTTACCAAGGAGTTACTAATGTCTTTGTGTGATTTACAGTGATTCTGTATCTGCTCCATAGTCTGTAAGAAGTGGTTTAAACTTCATAATGTAATAAAATAGATCATCAAATTTTGTAAGAGAGCTCATTCCAGACACACATGGAATGAATAATCATCATGTCTAAGGAATATCTTTTCAATATATGTGAATCCAAATACCACTATCAACCAATCTCATACACACATATACCTCAGGACACTTTATGAAATAAAAGCTTTGTTAAAATCATGACAGCTTACATCCACTCGCCATGCCATTTCTTTTACTGACTAACAAAGTAAGCCTAATGAAAGAGGAATCAAGGTTTATCTGATATAACTTGTTTTTAGTGATGCCTAAAGATTTTCAAAGACCACTATCTTCTTGTCTAAATGTCTCCTACCATCTGTTAAATGATTTGTTCCAAATTTTTCTAAGGAACCACACTGAACTGATCTGTAATTCTCAAATTTTACCTTTTCCTCATTTAAAAAATGTATTTTTAAATGTATTTTATTGATATAGAATTCACATGACACTCAATTCATGTAAAGAATACAGTCAGCCCTGGCTGGTTGGCTCAATGGACAGAGCATCTGCCTGGGGACTGAAGAGTCCTGGGTTCGATTCCAGTCAAGGGCACATGCCCAGGTTGCAGGTTCTATCCCAATGGGGGGCATGCCAGAGGCAGCTGATCAATGATTCTCTCTCATCATTGATGTTTTTTTCTCTCTTTCTCTCCCTCTCTCTCTGAAATCAATAAAAATCTATTTTTTAAAAAAGAATACAATCAATGTTTTACGTATGTTAAGAGGGCTGTGTAAACATACCCTAACCTTATTTTGGGACATTTTCATTCCCCTTAAAAGAAGCCTTTAACCATGATCTGTCAATTCACTTTTCCCCACCGTCCACCTCCCATTCCTAATATTCTTTCTGTATCTATACAGTTGGTCTATAATAGATATTTTTTAAAATCATACAATATGTGTTGATGGCTTTTTCACTTTTTAAAAATATTATCTTCTAGTATCTCCTATTTTCTTTAGTATCTTTCCAACATATAGTCAATGCCTGTGGGACAATATATTCAAGTTTCTTCAACTCTGGAATGTTTAAGAAGCTCACCCTCTCCAGCTTCTCGGTCCAGAATCAGGTTCCCAGGGCTCCTGTCACATCTAAAATATATGAGCAATCCAATACCTAGGGCCTGTGCCATGTTTTTCAAATCATCTTTGCCTCACCTATGAGATTCCCTGAGGTAAGCCTAGATCCTCATCTTATGCTCTCACAATTCCTACTCTACCCTCCAACACAATTTCCTGTCCCACTTTGATTCTCAAGGCTTTGGTTCTTAAGTCAGTCCAGAACAAAGCTGGAGTTTTACACTTCACCCAAGAGAGACTGGGTGAAGAAACTTGTTGGCTTACCCCAGATAAACTGAAGGGGAGGGAAAAAGCAGACCCCACCCTATTATGTTTTAGCTTTTAATTCTCATGACTCTTCTCTAGATTTGTACCCCTTGTCATTCTCTTTTATCTGACAATCAATCAGGATATGCCATGGTGCCAGGAACACACGAGTCATGGAACACAGGAGTCAGCAAAAGGAAAAGTGGTAAGTAGTGAGCCTGTGTCTTTGGTCCCTTCTACTTCACTAAGCGAACAGGAGAAGGTTACATATCTGTAAAGGCTAGAGGGAGATAGCTAATTCTAGCTTGTGATGTGGAAATTAACTGAAGACTCATCACCAGCTAGAGCAAAGGAAGAACTGTTAAAGGAAAGAGCTCACATTGCCCAAAAGGAGAAAGGATTCCTCACCAGAAAATGTCAGCCCTGGCAAGAGGAGAAGAAAGAAGTGCTTTGGCATTAAGTTTTCACGGCTGGAGGTCAGCTGTGAAGAGGGGGTAAAGAGCAGAGAGAGGGTGCATACCATTACCTGTCTAAACCTGTATTCTTCTGGCCATTAAATTAGGTCCCAGGCAGAATTCTTTCCTCCCAGCCCTCTACACAATGTTCAGAAATGATCACTTACTAGCAGGTGATACATTATCCAAAAAAAGCAAAATTACCTAAAGCACTAGGTTTCACACTAGGAAGAAATAGGCCTATCTATGACCATAGCTCCCAGCAGCCTTCCACAGCTCTGTGTTAGGCATTTCTTCTGAAGGTACACAGAACAGATCTTCCTGAGCCCCGTTGTTAGCCCTCTTTCCTATCCTAGGAGTTCTGAACCCAGGGGGAACTTCAATACTGAAATAAATAACGATATTTTCAGTAAGTGCCTCAGTCCTGTAATGCAGTGCCTGAACAACAACAACAACAAAATCAAGAAAGCTCACAGCATATTCAATTTCTGAAATAAACTATGTGTGCTAGAAATCATAATCTTTATTCATATTATCCATTATTACAGTTACTATTAATCAACTCATATGGAATTACAGTATTTTGATATTTAACCAAGGTACACTTATGCTGGTGTGTATTGCCTGATCACTAAACCTATGGAGGTTCTCATGTCTTATGCCAACTCTGAAACTGATACTAGACTCCATAAAATGATATGCCTCCTATCAGGACTAGACATCATCGTGTAACACTTTATAGAAGGAAACATTCTCTTCAAGCTATAAAGCACCATACAAAATGAGTCTAAAAGTGTCCAGCTGGCATGGCTTAGTGGTTGAGCATTGACTTATGAACCAGAAGGTCATGGTTCAATTCCTAAAGACACATGCCTGGGTTGCAGACTCGATCCCCAGTGGGGGGCATGCAGGAGGCAGCCAATCAATGATTCTCTCTCATCATTGATGTGTCTATCTCTCACTCTCCCCATCCCTTCCTCTCTGAAATCAATAAAAAACATATATTTTTTAAAGAGTCTAAAAGAAGCACAAGTTTAAAAAAATATTATATATAAACCAAAAATGTTCTAAAGTTAATCAGAATTACACACAGCCCAGCAGACATGGCTTAGTGGTTGAGCTTCGACCTATGAACCAGGAGGTCACAGTTCGATTCCCAAAGCCACATCTCTGGGTTGCCGGCTGGATCCCCAGTATGGGGTGTGTAGGAAGCAGCCAATCAATGATTCTCTCTCATTATTGATGTTTCCATCTCTCTTTCCTTCTCCCTTCCTCTCTGAAATCAATAAAAAAAATTTTTTTTAAGTTACATGTAAAATGTCACCTACCATATTAGGGACAATAAATCCATACACAGTAAAATTTTAGAATAATTTTGAATACTGATTAGCAGAATGATCTAAAATAATTCCTATTTTCCTATTGCTTGGTGCCAGAGCTTTTTAAGATTTGCAGAATGTAGCATTTGCTCCACAAACGAAAGCATCACAGTACCTTATAACGTCCACTCATCACAGCATCATGTAGGGGAGTGATTTGGTCTTTTCCTTTGACATTTACATCTGCTCCACCTTTTATTAGTTCACTTGCTGTCTCATAAAATCCCCTTACACTAGCTTCATGAAGTGCTGTCCAACCTATTATACAAAAAGAAAATGGTATTTGTTTATATATGGCATCTTAATACATCTTAATAATGTTTTGTGCTTAGCCTTAAAATAAAAACTCAAATTCTAAGCTGTTTCTTTTTAATTGTTTTATTGCTTAAAGTATTGCAAAGAGTATTACATGTGTCTCCTTTTTTCTAAGCTGTTTCTTTAAAAAATATTTTTATTATATATGACCAGAGGCCCGGTGCACAAAAATTTGTGCA